AGATAGAATTCCAATACCTACTCCAATCTGCTCAGGTATATTCAATAAGATAAAAAAGATGAATCCTGATATCTTTATTAATATCTGAGAATAGAAAGAGGAATCAGCTACTCTTAAGCCAGTAATAGCTAGCAAAAATTATAATAGACAACATATTATATATCTTATAGCTTTTACAGATATTACCAAATCTGAAAACAATAAGTATGAGCAAAAGAACCATTTTCTTTAGATCAAAAACCCAGATGAATTAGTATTCAAAATACAAAACATCATGGCAAAAAGCATCTTTGTAATTGGTGCTTTTATAGTTTTCTATTAAAAAAATCTCTAGCCTATCACCAAGAACATTGTTTTGGCTTAGAAGAAGCAACCCAAAAAGTCAAATTATTTATCAAGGGTGATAATGACTTTGAAAAGTTTAAGAACTATGAACGAATGATCAATGCTCCATGTATTATTATAGCTGACTTTGAAGCTAACAACAAGAAATGCGATGAGAAATATGGAGGGCAAATGCGAAAGCTTGCAGAACAGAAGGCAAATAGCTTTTGCTATTTAGTTCATTAGATTGATACAGGAGATGTATGGGGATCTTTTATATATAGAAGAGAAAATACTATTCAGGAGTTTGTCAAAAGAATTGATAAAGAATTAGTTTGAATTAATAGAGTCTTAACTCTAAAACATAACCGAATTGAGACTGAAGAAGACAAGAAAAAATTTGCTAAAACAAATATTTGCTAGATATATGAAGATAAATTTGATATAGATAATAAAGATAAGGTTTGGGACCATTGTCATATAATAGGTAAGTTTCGAGGACCTGTTTACAATGCTTGCAATCTCAAACTTCAGATTGAAGCATAGTAAACTCTAATTTTAATTATTTTTTATAACTTCCGAGATTATGATTCTCACTTGGTTTGTGAATCTGTTGGAAAATCAGTTAATGCATATCAGATAAAGGTTGTAGCTGAGACATTTGAGAGATACAAGACTATGAAAGTAGGTCAGCTAAAATATATAGATAGTATGCTATTTATGAATAATAGTTTAGCAAATCTTACAGAAAATTTGGATACCAACTACCCTATCACAAGCCAGCACTTTAAAGACTATTCTTTAGATCAAATTTCACTAGCAAGTCATAAAGAAGTTTATCCTTATGAATATATCGATTCATATGATAGATTTAAGGAAAAAGAACTTCCTTCTATTTATGAGTTTTATAGTACTCTTAAAGGCAAGATTACACAAGATGACTATCAATATGCCCAAAAAGTATGAGAAACTTTTGGTTATAAAAATCTAGGTGAGTATCATGACCTCTATCTTAAAATCGATATACTTAGTCTTGCAGATATTTGGATCCAATTCTGAATAATATATATGTAATATTATGAGCTTGAACTTAATTATTATGTTTCAGCACCTGCACTAGCTTGGGATACCATGTTTAAAATGACAGGAGTTAAAATTGAGCTATTTACAAATATGGCTATGTATAATTTTATAGAAGAGGCTAAGCGTAGAGGTATAGCTATAGCCTGTAAGTGCTATTTCAAGGCCAATAATCCAAAAATAGGCAAGACATTTGATTCATCTAAACTCACAATATGGATAAACTATATCGATGCAAATAATCTTTATGGTTAGGCTATGAGTCAGTATTTGCTTATTGGAAATTATAAATGGAAGGTAAGTTGTAAATATCTTGAGGATAATCCAAATGAGCAAAAGAAATATCTTGAAAAGATTCTTAATACTAAAGCAGATGCTTTGTATATCTATCTTTATTAGCAAAATAACAAGCTAATGCTCTTTGAAGGCAATTATCAGATGGTATACTTGTAACTGAATCGATTATTTTTGAATTATCAAGATTGATTGTATATTTGGTATTGGCAAGCTTTTTTGAAATTGAGATATATGATCTACCAACAGCTCTTCACAAAGTATAAGCTTCAATAGTTAATATTTCAATTCTTACCAAATTTCATCCTGATCCTAATTTCATAAATATGTCTATTTTATTATCTATTTCTAATATAGATAAATTTATATGCTCATTGATATCTTCTTCTGTAAGAATAATATGCATGAGGCTTCTATGATGACTAATCATATATGTTGAAATTTTAGTGCTGCTTTTTCTCTTGCTAATATGCCTATGATATATGCATTGAGCAACTAATGCAGTTTTTATTTGATTTTTTTTACGCAATTCGGCTTTAAGTACTCTTGTAATTTGTTCTCTAGCATTTGCTATAAGTTGAGGCATATAGGATGCTTCTAAATATTTATTACTATTCTCAATATAGTGATTGAAACTATATTTTATATTATCAGGAGATGGGATATTTGCTTGCCATAAACTCATTGATGTTACATTCTGATGGAGTCTTAAAGGATCAAAATTAGATTTGTATTCTTCGAATATTAACTCTTTGTTCATTAATTTATAATTTTTTCTTACTAGTTTACTACCAAAATTGCCTTCTACAGTTATGATATTTCTTTTTGGATAGTCATAGAACAAGGGTCTAGCTAATTCAGGCTATTTTTCATCAGTGTTGGCATTATATCTATCTTCTATATTATCAAACCATTCTATATTATTTTGGGGTAGATTTGAAGAAACATTGTCTGAAGATATATTTTGAGTAGGTGATAAGGATGCATCGTCTAATTGGATTAAATCACCTACTGGAACATAGTTTTATATTAGAATTTGATCTGTAGTTGAATTTTGTAGTAATGGTGTTGGAGTTATAATAGAATTTGAAGTATTACTAGGTTTGTATAGATTTTTTCATTCTAGATATATATGAAGTTTTGCTAATTTAGAAAAATCTTTTCTATATCTATTACATGTATGTACTACCATAGTAAAATAATAGTATGAATTTGTATATGGGTGCTGGTATGAAATTCTTTATCTGTTACTTATAAAATATTTTTATTCAATTTGTAAATTAATATGTAGTAAACATATATAAAAAATGCAATTAGCCAAATATATATGTGATTTTCTTTTATATACTAGTAAAATATGTGGTCAGTTATATATGAAACCTGAAGGATGTTGGCTTTATAAAAATACTATAAACCACTTTCCTTGTACTATTTGTGATAAGCCTATTCGTTCTGAAAGTATGTGATATCCTAATCATATTAGAGGCTATTATATTGGTAAATATTATCAAAAGTATTATAAAAGAAAAATAGATATCTAATTTTTGGTACCTTGATTTATATATAGGTAAGTAGTATATGATATTAGATGTGGCGATATCTATTTTTCTTGATACATATGAGTGATAAGAAATTTCTTTTTTTGTCGTCATCTAATTTAATTATAAAATATAAAAATAAAGAGTTCTAACTATATAATTTTTGGTATCCAGGTTTTTATATAGGTACTAAAAATTACTATAGAATATAGGCTTCTTGAGTGATCTAAAAAGCAAAATAAATACTTTAGTACCCAGAGTGTCAAAAAAATAACCCAGAAGTCTCATTTTTGCTCTACTGATCTAGTATAAATTTAAACCCAAGTTATCTATCAACATATAAATATTTTAATCAGATACAAAATAGAGTTGTTTCTCTAACCGCATTATTTAGCCAATTCAATATAGTATTTGAGAGTTCTAGATGCAAACTCTAGTCACGATCTTTTGCAAATCTCTACTTCAAGTTTAGTATTCTATCAAAAGATCTTTGTCTAGTTGATATTTCTGCTATAATAATACTAAACCTATAAATATCTGCTATGTATATATAAACTGTTCTTGCCTAATAAAACTTTTGGTATAATATAGGGCATAATTCTATAAATTTCTCCTTCTAAAATAATATCACTTGTAGTATTTCTATAAACTAAACTGAACTAAACTTCTTTTAAAAAAAGTTTAGTTTAGATTTAATATTAAACTTTAAATCAAGTTCATATTTAGTTTAGATTTAGTTCAAAAGTTCATAAACATGTTCAAGTTTAATGAATTATATATATATAGTATATATATTATATATTATTAAAAATAATTCACTTCCAATAATAAGCTATTTT